AATACTCATCTTTTATTAATAACTTGAAATATTAATGGACTAAACTCCCCAGTCAAAAGACACTGGCTAGGTGAGTGGATTAAGAAACAAAACCCATCTTTTTGTTGTCTGCAAGAAACTCATCTCACTTTCAAGGACAGACACTATCTTAAAGTGAAAGGATGGGAAAAAAATACCAAGCAAATGGTACTAAAAAAAGCAGGTGTAGCAATTCTAATATCTGACAAAACATACTTTAAAATAAAACTAACCAGAAGAGACAAAGAGGGCCACTTCATTCTAATCAAAGGAACAATAAATCAAGAAGATATTACAATCATGAACATATATGCACCAAATTCTGGTGCACCCAAATTCATAAAAACAAAAGAGAGAACTGGAAGCTTAGACAAACCAGCTTTTCATTCCCCAAAAGTAAACCACAAAGGCACATAAAGTTTACAAAAAGAAGCAAACCTAAACTTGAAGGCTTGACTCTCACACAAGAATCAGAAACTACAAAAGAAATTCACATGTCAAAATCACAGAGACAAAATAATAACATGAAAAACCAAAATAACATATCCCCACCAAATATCTCCATTAGATAGGTCAACAGGACAGAGAGTTAACATAGAGACACCTGAATTAAACAATACCATATATCAAATGGATTTAACAGACATCTACCGAGTATTCCATCCAAGCACCAAAGAACATACTTTCTACTCAGCACCGCATGGACTGTTCTCCAAAATCGACCATATACTGGGGTACAAAACAAACCCCAACAAATACAAAAAGATTAAAATAATTCCATGCATTCTATCAGACCACAATGCAATAATGCTTACAATCAACATTGGAAGAAGCTCTAGTCACCACATGACCACATGGAGATTAAACAACACACTCCTGAATGATGAATGGGTCAAAAGAGAAATTAAGAAAGAAATAAAAGTATTCCTGGAACTAAATGAAAAGGACAATACAACACAACACAACAAAATCTCTGGGACACGCTGAAAGCTATCCTTAGAGGGACGTTTATAGCTCGAAGTGCCTACATCAAAAAATCGGAAAGAACAAAAATAAATGACTTAACATTGCAACTCAAGTCACTTGAAATGCAACAGCAAATGAAACCCAAACCCAGCAGACGAGAAGAAATAACAAAAATCAGGGCAGAAATTAATGAAATTGAAACAAAGAAAACAATACAAAGAACCAACAAATCGAAAGCTGGTTCTTTGAAAAGATAAACAAGATTGACAGACCACTAGCCCAGTTTAAAAACTTATACGCTACTAAATTTGAAAACCTAAAAGAAATGGGAGGGTATCTAAAAGCATGGGAACCACCAAAACTGTCAACAGCTCAAACATATCCATAACACATAAGGAAACTGAAACAGTAATACAAAATGTCCCAACTAAAAAAAGCCCAGGACCAGATGGATTTACAGCAGAATTCTATCACACATTTAAAGAAGAGATACATCCAATACTACTTAGTTTATTCAAAAAAGTAGAAATGGAGGGCAAACTTCCAAATTCCCTCTATGAAACCAGGATCACTCTAATACTAAAGCCAGGTAAGATACAACTAAAAAAGAAAACTACAGACCCATCTCCTTAATGAACATAGATGCAAACATTCTCAACATAATACTTGCAAACTACATACAGACACACATCAAAAAGATCATCCACCATAATCAAGTTGGCTTTATTCCAGAGATGCAAGGATGGTTCAATACACATAAGCCAATAAATGTCATAAATTGTATAAATGGGCTCAAAGACAAGAACCATATGGTTATCTCTGTAGATGCAGAGAAGGCCATTGACAAAATTCAACATGCATTTATGTTCAAGGTCCTAGAGGGAATTGGAATGGAGGGAACATACCTCAACATAATTAAAGCCATATATAACAAACCCACAGCCAAAATCATTCTAAATGGAAAAAAACTGGAAGCATTCCCATTGAAATCAGGATCCAGACAAGGCTGTCCACTATCTCCACTTCTCTTTAACATAGTGCTTGAAAATCTTGCAAAAGCAATAAGACAAGAGCAGGAAATTAAAGGAGTAATAATTATAAAAGAAGAGATCAAATTATCCCTTTTTGCAGATGATATGATATTATATCTGAGACGCAAAAAAATTCCACCAGAAAACGCCAAGAAATTACCAACATGTTCAGTAAAGTGGCAGGTTACAAAATTAACCTACAAAAGTCTGTATCCTTTCTATACACCAATAACAATCAATCAGAGAAAGAGCACACGGAAACACTCCTCTTCACAATAGCTGCAAAAAAATAAAATATCTTGGAATAAACCTGACCAAAGACATTAAAGAGCTCTACAATGAAAATTTTAAATCTAAAAAAAAACATGGATTGGAAGAATTAATATTGTGAAAATGGCCATCCTACCAAAAGCCATTTATAGATTCAATGCAATTCCAATCAAAATCCCCATGATATTTTTCACAGAATTGGAGAAAACCATTCTAAGATTCATATGGAAGGACAAAAGACATCAGATAGCCAAAGCAACCCTGATCACTAAGAGCAATGCCTGAAGGGATGACTATACCAGATTTTAAGCGGTATTACAGAGATATAGTCATAAAAACAACATGGTACTGGCACAAAAATAGACCCATAGATCAATGGAACAAAATTGAACACCCAAATATGAGTACATGCAATTTCTGCCACCTGATATTTGACAAAGGGGCCAAGAATATTCAATGGAGGAAAGACAATATGAAATGGTGCTGGCAAAACTGGATCTCCACCTGTAGAAGAATGAAACTAAACCCCTATCTCTCACCCTGCACAAAAGTCAATTCCAAATGGATCAAAGACCTCAATGTAAAGCTTGAAACTCTGAAACTGTTAGAAGAAAACATTGGCAAAAAGCTAAAAGATATAGGTGCAGGAAAGGATTTTCTAAACCAGACATCAATTGCTCAGGAAACAAGGGCAAGAATTAACAAATGGGACCTCATTAAACTAAAAAGCTTACGTACATCAAAGATGGCAACCAGGGAAGCAAACAGAAATCCACAGAATGGGAGAAAATCTTCACCAGCGACACATCCGACAGAGATTTAA